TTTTGTTTCCCTGAACACTGAGCTGCTTTGAGGTTCCAGGCTAACAGACATGGCCAGACATGGGTTGGAGTCTAATTACCCATGTTCAGCAACACAAAAATAAATAAGCCAGGCTCCAGGCCACCAAAGGGAGGGTGGAAGGGATGTGGGGGTGGTGGGGGGCCAAGCTACACTATCTGTTTAAAACAGAGAACTGGGAAGCGGCTGTGATCAAAGATAGACAAGGGGCAGTTTTTCATGTTTCCTGAAGGTCTAAATCATTTTGCCAAAGCTCACGTGAGACATCTTGTGGGAGTCTTTGGATGTGCTGGTAGTAAGATAGTTTGAACCTGCTAAACCTGTTTGAAGCTGCTTCTGGCAACGTATGAGGAGAGAAATAAAAGATAGACTAGTTTTAACAAAATGTTCTTTTGTCAGTGGATATCACAATGCCACCTCTGAACACAGTGAACACCTGACCACACTCCTCTGGCCAAACAGACAGGCAGGCGTCCAGAAAGGCAGAGCAGGGGATCGTGTTTGTCCAGCTCCATCAGCCTGTCAGAGAAAGCTCGACATCTTAACAGCTGGACAGAGTCCAGCTGAGGATTACACCTCAGTTAGCCTCTGTCAGTCTATTGTGCAGGCTTTTTGGCAAAAAGACTAAAATAGGAAGGATAGTCTGGCTGACTGCTCCATGAGCTCACTGAGAGACTGGGCCAACAAGTCATCCTCGAAAGTTAATCAATCATGTTTTATTTATTTTAACACATTGCTAAATTAAGCTTTTTAGTTATCTGTTGTCTAATTTGTGCTGGAAAGCTACTGTGGGTTATTCTCAGGGCCAGACTGAATGACGTCGGGGTGTTTATGGGTGGTTACGCCCCCTGAGAGGGCAGCTGTCTCCCTGGCCTTCCTATCCTCACAAGGCCCTTCCCATGGTTCTCCACACTGGGTCGGGAGGATGGTGCATGGAGGAGAGGGGGTTGCTGTCACAGCAGTTGGCATGTGACACAGTTTGTTGCTGGCAGGTTAAAACAAAGGGCCAGAGGTCTGCTCCCTCCTGGCCATGAACAGTAACAACAGGAGGAGTAAAGAAAACTGTGGCATGTTCACTTCAATGATGGTGATGTGGACAATGTTATATGTATTTTTATATATGCACATTTCTATGGCATTATCTTATATATATATCTATATCTATATATAGATATAGATATATATATATAGAGAGAGAGATTTAGTACAGTATGGTCTATATGTAACTCAGTCTTTCTGTAGAATTTGTTTCAAGAATTGTATTAAAACACATTGTGAATAATCTTATTTTCTTTTCAAAACATTTTCACTTAATCTCCAAATCAGTTGTTAAAGCTACTCTGCTTCATGTCTTTTCAGCATAGAGGGTAGTGGGACTGAAAACAGACTCGTACATAAGCTGCTCTTAACTGCTCTGAGATAAACTACGGATACTTCAAGAAAATGCAGCCTCCAGGTGGAAGCTAGCATTAGCTGATGAATGAGTAAATGTGGCAATCCACTAGAACCAGTAGTACGACACAGGACGTGTGATCTTATTCAGATACCACAGAGAGATTTTTATCTGCATTGCCTCCCTGAATGATAATGGTTGTTTTCTTGTACTTGCAGCTATCCTTGGAATGTACACGCTGATGAGCAACAAGCAGTACTACGATGCTCTGGGCCTCACAGGAAAGATTGCCAACACAGAGGGCATCAATAGTATGTGTGGCACCATTTCATAAACCTTTTCCCCTTACTAGCAAAGATAGCTTACGAGTTTTCACTGATATTCATAATTCACTGGCTGGACTCTTATTCTTGTTTACCTCTTCCTTTTATCAGATATTTCCTTATTTCGTTCATAACTGTAACAGTTGTAGACTGCAGTTTATGAAAAAAACAGTTCACTGAGATACCATATACACTGTGACTGCAACTGTTACAAGTTTTACTTTGCCATCAGGTGTTGTGCAACCAGATCCATTCAAGATCTTTCCCGAAGAGCCGCCCAATCCCACCAAGGTGGAGGAAACCCTGGAGAGAATCCACAATAATGACAGTAGCCTGACAGAAGTCAACCTCAACAACATCAAGGTCAGCCCAATGCTACAGTGCAGAGAAAAAATACTGATATTAACTGGTGTCAAAGATAAAATTCATACAGGTCTCTATTTTTAAGTACTCTATTTTTATTCCTACTTATCCCATTTCACAATGAGCATTCCTTACATGTCTGCATTGTTTACTGTCTGTCTATATTGCTTATTTTGCATTGTTTGCACTGCTTGTTGCTTGTTAATACTGCTTATTTTGTTATATTACACAGCCTTATGCTGGTTTACTGTTTACTTGCCCCTTGCATGGGGATATGTACATGCACATTGAGAGCTGATGTACCAGAGTCAAATTCCTTGTGTATCTGACACACCTGGCTTCAGCTTATCAGAAAAGCAGATATTAGGTTTCACATCCAAGTGAACCAGCTGAACTTGAAACTGAATTCTCACTTCTTTTCAGACCCTCATAGTTTTACTTGTAGCCATTCACGAGCCCTGAGAGTGGGCATCAACCGTGTGCCATGACAGCACTACACTAGATCAATTTGTCTGTAACAATAGCTGAAGTCATGTGCTGCACTGATCAGCTGGAATGTAAAACCTGCAGATCTGTGAGCTTTAATAACCCAAGCTCATGAAGGTGACATCCCTCTGTCATTCCCACAGGACATTCCCATCCCAACGCTGAAAGAAATATTTGAGGCGATGAAGGGAAACTCTCATGTGGAGTCTCTGAGCATTGCAGCGACCCGTAGCAACGACCCTGTGGCCTGCGTGAGTACATCATCCCTTTGGACAGCCAACAAATACTGTGTATTGTTACCGTTATGTTTTATATTTTCTTTGTATGAAAAGGTATCAATGTTCTACTGTATGTTTCATTCCTGCAAGAAGATAATTTTTCTGCAACTCTGTATGTTCGTACACTTCAACATTGCACTGACAATACTGTAGAGGTGATGACATAAATGCTGAAACTGTGTATTAATGAACCAACAGTGCTGCAGGATCGGATGGACTGAAGGTTATTTGGTGTCATTTAAATAAATAAATGTTAACTTATGTTACACTGCCTGTGTGTTTCAGGCATGCGCTGAGATGCTGAAGGAAAACACCAGCTTGCAGAGTCTTAATGTTGAGTCCAACTTTATCACTTCAGATGGCATGATGGCAATCATCAAAGCTATGGCCAACAATGCCACACTGGTGGAGCTCAAGATCGACAACCAGGTCAGAAACACCAGATTAGAAGTGTAGCTGTACTGTACATCTCATAGCAGATGTAACTCGCTACGATTTTAATTATTGTAACCCAGTACTTGGTGTAAGCAAACCAGTAGTAGTAGTGTTTCTTCAATAAAAGTATTAGCATCAAAATATACTTAAAGTACAAAAAGTAAGTACTCAGTATGTCAAATAGCACATTTCACAGTGATGTATATTGTTGGATTGTAAGAATTGATATTATTGTGTACATGTAATGTTGCAGCTGGTAAAGGCAGAGCTAATTTTAACCACCGTATAATCACCTTTATTGGCCAAGCATGTTACACACAAGGAATTTGTTTCCGGTACAGAAAATAAGTACTTTACATACTGCTGGGTCGCTTGTGAATTTCCCACCAGAGATCAATAAAGTCTAATGATTATACTGTATTTTGTTTAGTCTCAGTCTGAAAAGTAACTAGTAACTAAAGTTATCAAATAAATGTAGTACACTTTTTTCTCTGACATTTAGTAAAGTCAAAGTATGAAGTAACAGATAATGAAAATACTCAAGTAGAGATTGTAAGTACAGAGTTTGAGTAAATTAACTTTCCACCTCTGTGAATGACATCCCGCTCTT